CCTTTCCTCTCCTCTCCTCTCTCTCCCTATGCTTCTATATGCCACCATTACACATCACTAACTTTGTGTCTCCTCTCTCCCGTAGTGTGTCCTCTCTTTCTCCCTGTACCTTTCTCCAGGTTGCCCTGGCCCTGGAGCTCTACATCTCTGATGAGCAGCCACTGGCCACATCAACTTGACCAGTGTTTGATTGTTTGTTGTATCTTGTTGCTTTTCTCTTCTCTCTCCTCTATCCATCCACTCTAATTGGTCAAGGCAGAAGGCTGCCTACCAAGAGCCGGGGTCTGTCTGAGTTTTCTTTCGTTAAAGGGGACTTGTGCAAGTTTTTTGTTTATAATAGTAAGGTCTAGACCTTACTTTGTAAGGGTCTTACTTTTGATGTGATTTGGCGCTATACAAATAAAACTGAATTGAACAATTATTTGGCCTGGGGCCCCTGCGTAGAGTGGTCTGGGCAGATGTTCCTGTAGTGGGCTGGTGAAGCACTGAGAGACTGCTGCATAAACCCTGCAGAGTCCAGCTCCTGTCTAGTCCGTTTACACCTGTTTACCAGGTATCTTCACCATCATCTTATTTTTCTCTCCACGTGTTTGTAGTTTTCACTGTGTACTCAGGCACCAAATAAGGAAAGGCGGCGCCATAAAAGGAAACCCGTGTCTTTATATGGAGAAAAGTAGTTCCACCGGATGTCCTAATAAACATGTCGGTTTGTGATATCACTGCGCACAATCTGTGATTACGTAACATCTTTTTTATAGTGTGTCGTGTATAATAGACTGCTGTAACGTCTCTGATGAAACCTTCTATTTGCCAAACGATGAGAGTGACTATAATACGTACAGTATGTGGAGCTATATTTTAAAGTGGATGAATATGCCCGGATGCTGCTCGTCATTTCCTTGTGTGGTGCGGAGTGATTCGGGGGCGGGTCTCGTTGACTAATGCAGGAAAACAACTTTTTAACTTTATTCACTGTTTTGTTCAAGCTGGTTGAGATCGTTAGGATCTGATGTTTCTCCTGACGCTGTCCGCCTGAACTCTTGTTGATTTACAGAGTTTCCTGATGGACTCATTTACTTGTTGCTAAAGTAGCTCAGCTAGCCGTGCAGCTAGCGGTGCTGTTAGCCGACTGTGCATGCATTGAGAGCCCCAAAGCCCCGCGGAGAGTGTTGGTATTCACGCCGCTAGCACATTAGCTTTGGCCTACCGAGAGCGGGAGGTTTCTGGGAACGGGGAGGGGGGGAGGGAGGGGAACGCAGCGGGGAATGTTGGCGGGGAGCGGCGCCGGGATGAGCACCAGAACCGCTGTTGGGCGGGCGGGCAATGGAACCGAGCTGAACAGCCTCCCGGTGAACACAGCCGTAACGGGAGCGAACACAGTCTCCGTTACCGACGGAGGCCAGTTTGAGGACAGAGACTACAGTACCGAGGTGGTTTACAGCGGCTCCGACCAGGACTCGGATTCTGGGGATGACGAGGACACGGCGGGTTCCGGCGGGGACAGGAGAGGGGTCAAGCGCGAGAGGAGTGAGAGGGAAGTCGTGCAGTCAGCGCCCACCTCCGGAGGCCTGGGCGGGGGTTACTGCGCGGTCAGCGCCGGGATGCCAGGGGCCAAACCCGGCAAGAAAACCCGGGGGAGAGTAAAGATCAAGATGGAGTTCATAGACAACAAACTTAGGCGTTACACGACCTTCAGCAAGAGGAAGACCGGGATCATGAAGAAGGTCAGTGTCGGGGAACCAGAGAGAGGTGACAAGTAAATAGCAGAGTACGGAGATAGATAGATAGATATTTTATTGATCCCCAAGGAAATTCACAAGTCCAGTAGGAACAGCAATGATAACCGAAATCACAACACCCAAAGTAATGTATAAAAATGTTAGACTAAAATAATAAATATGCTAAATATGAGAAATGAGTTTAGGAAATATGTGTATGTGTGTATTGAGTAACATGGAGTCTATATATATATATATTGAGTAAAGTGTGCCGGGTATACAGTATACATAAGGGTATACATCATAAGTAAATGTGCTTGTGTACACTGCCATTATGTGCAGGACTGAGCGTTATGTGGAAAGGTAAAAACAGTAAAGGTTCACGTTTGAGAGGCTGCAACAAGTGAATTTCTGGCTTTTTTTTTCTTTAGAAAAAGTGATACATATCTTGGTAAATATTAAAGACACGGAGACATGAATTTCTGCCTCAGTATATGAGTTGTTTCTAAACTAAGAGCAGCCATGAGCCTGTTTACCTCCTCAGATAACATCACAGGTTTTAGCAGTGTCTCTGTCACAACGTCAGTCTTCACCGTTGTAATTGTGGCTTTTTGGTGGCACCTGTCAGTCAGTGTGAACTTTATAAAACACAACTGCTGCAGACACAGAGACTCATCACACAGTCTGATCTGCAGCTCTCATTAACCCCCTGCCAGGCATACGAGTTGTCCACCTTGACCGGCACACAGGTGTTGCTGCTGGTTGCCAGTGAGACGGGTCACGTGTACACCTTTGCCACCAGGAAGCTGCAGCCGATGATCACCTCGGAAACAGGGAAGGCTCTGATCCAGACCTGCCTTAACTCGCCAGACTCCCCGCCACGCTCCGACCCCTGCTCAGACCAGAGGATGAGTGCCACAGGCTTTGAGGAGACTGACCTCACCTACCAGGTGCCTGAGGCTGACAGCTGCTCAGAGGTTGCTAAGGTAACGCTAGAGTCAGATACAGCAGCAGAAGCTTCAGTTTGAGCTCAGACAAGACAGAAACTGATTCCTATGCATTTTTGTTGATATCAGCCTGATATCTGTAGACAGCTGCTAGCTAGTGTTAGCTCCCCGATGTGAACAGGCGGAGTTCACTTGACCTCCATGGCCTCATACTATGTCACAGCTAGTAAGCATCTAGCGGACGTTGAAGAAATTGATGTTGAGTCTCAGGTGTTTTCAGGTGAGTTAGTACCTTTCTGTCCCTAATCAGTTTTTTTCTCTCCTGTTTGTCTCCTGCAGGATCTGATCAAACCAGCGTTCACTGTGTCCAGCCTGCCTGGCACCACACAGCCCACAACTTCCTCCTCCTCGTCCTCCTCTAATGTGTCCATGCAGGTGCAGACCAGCGACCCCTCCTGGCAGCCACCCTCTTCCACCAATGGCACGGTGATGAAGACGTCGGCAGGTGTCGTGCTTGCAGGAGGCTTCACCATGATGCCAGGTAGGTCAGGTGATGGTCAGGTGAGTTTCCTCTCACCTGACCATCACCTCTGACCATCTGTCTGTTATTTTTTATTTACTGCTTAACAGTATTTAGCTGTTGTGAAGGGTATTGTTTCTGGTCTCAGTTCAGAGTGAGGCTGTGTATTAATACATGCATGTAAATCAGTAAATTGATTACTGCAGGCAAGGAGGTGGCGTCCTCTGTGACGAGCATGGCTGCTCCAAATTTGCAGTCTGGTACCAGGAGGTTAGATCCACCTGTCAGTCTTTTCTGTTTATTCCAAAGTCCAACTTTGTTTCAATTTGGAAGGAAGTAAGTATTGAATTTGTAATGAGCTGTTTTAATAGAAGAAGTAGTTCAGGTTGTGGTCCAGCAGATGGCGATCAACCTATTGCTGTTGTACTAATCTGTCAATAAAATAAAAACTCATGGATAAAAATGGAGGACAGTAGCGATCAAAGGCAAGGCAGCTTTATTTATTCAGCACATTCAGACACGGAGGCAATTCAAGGCTTGTAGAGGCAAAGAAAAACATTAACATTAAAATATAAACAAGTAAACAAAGATAAAAGATCAGAAACAGTGATGTGCAATAGTAAGTTGTGTGTTACCCTGTCTGCAACACAGGAAACAAAAGTGCAGCAGAGAATCTCAGTCGCACAAAGACGAGTTGCTCAGGCAGTCTGGACACTGACTGTCCAGTACATTTGTTCTGTTGGCTGGCCCGGTGAAGACTCTTTCTCCTGTTGCTGTCCTGCTGACAAGCAGACAGCTGTTGTGATGGCAAAGGCAGAAATTGTGCCGCTCATGTCTCATGAATTCACTGTGAATTCCCAGTTACTCTGTACCCACAGCACACCTGAGGACTCGCCCTCTGCTGCAGCCCAGGTGAGGCAGCAGAAACCAGTGGAGCAATGTCACCTGACTTTTCCCACACTCGCGCTCAGAAGCCAGAAGCTCATAAACAGGTCAATTAGCTTTGTTTCAGGAGGTTTTCGAGGGAACAATGATGACACAACAGGAGCAAACATCAAATTCAC